CATAAAACTAATTAAAAAAATTAGAAACAATACAGAGCTTCACTAAACAAGATGGTAGGACCTCACCAATGTTTGTTATATTGCATATTGCTGTCTTCAACTTAATTGTTCAAATTACCAGATATAAGCATGCAAAATTGTTGAAAAAAGTAAGCTTTTTTACTGTTCCTTTCAATAAACCATTAGACACTGGCAGTACAATTCTCCCAACTATCCTTCCATATATATTTTTCCCTTCTTTCTTTTTTTCTCCTTTCCCTCATCCCAGTTGTTCCTTCCCTTTGAGCAATTTCCTTCCCTGTTCTATAGTACCTCTTGGGTTTTATTTACTCTTTCATGTTCTTACACTAGGGAGACAATATGATGTTTACACCTGTGAGTCTGATTTATTTCACTTATGAGTATAGTCTCTAGTTGCATCCATTTAGTTATAAAAGCCTCAAGTTTATATTTTTTATAGCTGAGTAATATTGCATTATATAAAAATACCACATCTTTTTTTTATCTATTCCTCATTTGATGGGCAACTAGTTACCATGGAGATTAGACCTAACCCAAAGGTTAGGGACTTAAGGTGGCCACAGAACTTATAGATCCAAACTGTCCATTCCCTGTAAGTCGTTTGGACACTATATCCCCTTGCAAGCAGGCAAAAGCTGATGAATATTGCTGCTCCAGTTGACATAGGCTGAGGCCTTAGGGTATGTTTTTCAAATGTTAAAATATTCAGTTAGGAACAGGAAAAAAGACTTACTAGGAGGTAAAAAGGAAGACAGAGATCTATGTCAGGTCACTATGAACAGGCAGACAAGTGTGGAACTCTGCCTGTGATTTACACATACACAAAGCCCTGCTGTGAAATCACTGATTTTGTCCCCACCGAGAAACAATCTTACCCATGTAGTTTTTTTTACTGCACAAACAAAGTTACTGCTTGTGTATCTTGCAGTATGCATTGAACAGAGGTTCGCCTGGACGCTAGGCAAGCTCTTCATCACTGAGCTACATCCCCAGAGTACTTGACTGTGTGTAGGAAGTGAGGTTTCACTAAACAAACCAGTCTGGGCTCAAACTTGCCACTGTCTTGTTTCAGCCTCGTGAATACTTTGGGTTACAGGCATGTGCCCTGCACCAAGACAGTCAGTTCTTTTTAGGAATCTGATATTTATAAGTAACACAACCTTAGAGAATGCTACTTTGGAATGGTACATTGGCTGAAGGAAAGTAAGTGTGTCACATCAAAAATTGATTTGAACAGCAAATTACTACAATGCTATTAATAGCATTAATTATGCTATATGTGAAATAGTTTAAAGGCTGTGGCAGGAATAGCTATGGAATATGTTAGCAAAGGATGAAAACAGTTAAGACTTCGAGAAACTTGGGAGAACGATGGCGTGCATGTGAGAACTCTACTACAGTGGTATTTGTGAGGGTCTTCTTTCCAAAATGCGATACTTCTGCATCTACAAGAACGTCGAGCATCTGTGTTTGGAGCAGTAAATAAAGAGGACACTGAGACCGCCCAGGACAGAAAAACAGAACGTGAAGGCCATGCTTATTCCCAACTGCAGCCCGTGCTACATGGGTCTGAGCACATACTGGGCTTCAGGCATTACTGCAGGTGCGTATGAGATATTCAGCCACCAAATTGCCCGGTCCTGTGGGGTTTGCATCCTCTGCCAGGAAGGAAGACAGGAAATGTGAAAGAAGAAACGTTAAGGTTAGGGGTATGGCTTATTGGTACAGCACTTGCCTAGGTGGGAAGTCTCTCTCCAGACTCTTGGTCGTGGCCTCAGTATTCTCCATCAGCATCACCTGGGGATGAGATAAAATATTTATTTTTACTTTTGATTTCACAACCACTGAATCAGACACTCTAGGATTGAAGCCCAAAAATGTGTGCTTTAAGGTGGCTTCCAGAGAATGTTTGTGCAGGTACCAGAACACTTAGTCCATGTGCAATGGTTTCTTTGCATTGGATTCACATCTTTCTTGCAATAATGAGAAATCTCACATTATGCTTCAGGAGCTTAGAACTCAGGTTTCAATATCACACCAGTGCATGTATATTTTCCCAAAGTAAATTAACATTTTTGTCAATAAAATGTCAAAGTTTTTTATTATCTATTGAAGGGTTGCTACCCATTGGACATTCACAAAATAGAAAATGAAGTCACTGATAATTTACCTCTTATAGAAGAACTACCTCCTGCAGTGAAATTTTTCCTGTAGAATTTTGCAACTGGGAGCACCTCCTAGTGTGTGCCTATGTGCTCAAATATATTTTACATACACTGTATTCCTTAGTAGAACTAAAGCCACAGCTGCCTCCTCTTCTTGGACCCTTCCCTGTCTGGACAGGTTGTGCTCCTAAAGCTGTCTCCTCTGCAGCCTCACAGATGCAGGTGTTCTACCTGGATGAGTCTGGCCGGCTGTGGTGCAGTAGTCCACCCAAGGCTGCAGATACCTGCTTCTTCACCCAGGTCCCACTTCCCCAGACATGGATACAGAGCTGAAATCACTGAGCAAATGCTGTCAACATTTACAGCTGTGTTCACCGCTGGGACACGGAGCAGAGGAAGTTGTCTGAGGGAAGGCCTGCAGGAGGCTTCTGGGCTGCTGAGCAGGACCTTCTGTACTCATATGAACTTTGTTGGGTAATTTCAAACTCAAAAGGCAGCGTAAGACAAAATTTAGAAAAGTGAGGAATGTAAGACTTCACTGTCTCAGGGGCCCTCGTTCTGTACTTCCTGAAAAAAACAAAAAACAACGAACAACAAAAAACATCCAAAAGAGTGAATGAAATTTCATTTATTTCTGCAGTTGTTTTTTGTCATTTAAGATATGGAATAGGAAAATATATTTTGAGGAGTGATTACAACTACTAAGCCTTATGTACTTGCTGCAATAAGATATTTATAACATTGATTTGCCCAATTGCATAAACTATTCAAATCATTTGATATAAAATATTGTAGCAATTTCTCACAGTAAATAGCATGATAAATTGAAAGTTATGGAGATCATCTCCAAGCCTATATGTCATTACACACAAGTTCTAAATAATTATTTGAATTTATATTTTATGATTTTAATAAAGTACACATAACATAAAATTTACCATTTTAATTGCACCATGGATAGCATCAAATTCACATTATTGAATGACCATAACAACCTTCCTCTCTAGAAATTTTACATTACTCAAAATAGAAATTTTGTATAAATACCATTTTCCCACTCACTCTTCTTACAGCCCTAGTTATTCATTATTGTGTTTGCTGACTTGATAATTATATGCACCATGTATATAAATAGAATCATATACTGTTTGTTCTTTTCATCTTTGCTCTGATTTATTTCATTTAATATAAGTTCTTCAAAGTTCATGCATATATTTTAGCATGTGTCAGAATCTCATACATTTTAAGGCTGTACATTTTTCTGTTATATGTACACATCATATATTTTTAGCCATCAAAACATTCATGAGCATTTTTATTTGGTAATGTATATAATTCTGCTATAAAGAGTTATGTACAAACATATATGTTCTCACTTTAAATTCTTTTAGGAATAAGATAATTGCTGAATTGAATGTTAGTTACATCCACATTTTTAAGGAGCTTCCTCACATTTATGAAAGTGTTTACATAGTTTACATTTGGAAGGTGCAATAAGCAGTATGAGGTTACAGCCATAATTTTCATTAACTACCACATCCTAAGGTGCTTACAGATTAGCACTCATATCAACAGCCAATACAAATTCTGAAACAACGTTCTTGAAAAAGAGAGGACGTTCTGAAGGAACTCAAAGCCCAGAGAACAGTGGTGGAATATTTGTTTTTCTTGTCCATGACAGAACACAGAATTGAGAGACATGAGTGTCACTGAAGAGAAACACAAAGGGGCTGAACGTGGGGAAGCCCGACGACAGCAGTGCAGAGGTGCTCAGGAGCCAGGGGCTTGGGCTTGGGGTCTGGGTAATCCAAAAGGATAAAATGCCAGCCAGAGCATAAAAGGAGACAAACATGCTCACCAGGATCAGCACAGTGCACCTGGCTCTGGCCTCGTGGGAAGTTCTGGGGGAGAGACTTGGGCTGTGAATGTGCTGGACACGCTGTTTGTGTCTGTGCAGCAGAAGGACCATGGAACCACTGGCCCAGACCATGACACCCAAGAAAGTCCAATCTGTAAGGACGTAAATGGTTGCTAGTAGCGTGAATATCAAACTGTTAGTGACAGGAGCAGAGCAGTATCTGTACATGTTTTGTCTACTCATGTTCCTGCTGTTCTTTGGTCCCGTTACATTCATAATAGTATGCGTATTTATCAGGAGGTTCAGGATCCAGCAGAGAAAACAGCAGAAGCCAAGATACTTTGGAGACCTGATTTTGGTCTCTGACAACCCTGAAAATGTGGAGCAAATTGTAATGGCTTGGAAGCCACTGAGTAGGCAAGTGGTGCTGAGGGTCACACCTCTGGCCACTCTGTGCAAGTAGAAGACAAGCTTACATCCAGTCTCACCCAGGAAGTCTTTCAATCCAAAAGCAGCCATTGTCTGAGGAATCCCTTTAGAGAACAGTACCAAGTTGTTAGCTAGGAATAGCTGTATGAGAATCGCATCTATGAGTCTGAACACTTGTGCAGTGAATAGAGAAAAGTTATACAGGCAAAAGAGTAAAGAATTTCCAAGGATTCCAACACTAGTCTGAGTGAGGAAGACCATAGCCCAATTTAAATTAGCAAAAGCTATTCCATCCATTTATTCAAGGTGTTGAAATTGGGTCTTATTTGAGTAAGAGGAATCTGGATATAAATGATTGTCCTGATTACATCCAGAGAATGTCTTTTCTCACAAAGCCATTATTCTAGGAAACATGCAAGTTAGGAATACAACTTTTGTGAAGAGTGAGGTGACTCTTGCAGCATTAGTTGCAACAAAAAGCCTGAAGCTTATGCATCCTCAGTCAACAGTAAGTGAAGAAAAACTGAGAAACCCACAGTGGAGGTCTGAATAGCTGTTGAGATGAGGAAGTCCTGCAGGTGCTAACCTTCCAGGAGCACTGCTACATTCATTACAAGGTTTGAATGGAATTTTGAAGGGTGGATAAGCAGAAAATAATATATAATCAATCATTTCCAGTTCTCAGGAATGAATAATAATTAAGATAATATCTGTTCTTCTTAATGCTACAACACAAATACAAAGTATCTTTATCAGTACACTTTTTCATTTTAAAACAATGTCTTGCCAAATGCTTAATTAAAGTTTTATATTACAGAAAGTCTTCTCATTGAAATTTGTATTAGCGTGGGAGATAAGGTAATTAATTTTCTCTTCATTGGTGTTACATAAGAAGTCACATTTATTTTGATAATATTACTTATAATAAGATACAATTCAATATTTTGAGAATTTGAATTAAAAATCATCAAAGACTGCCTCTATTTTAACAGCATCTCACCTACTTATAATTAATAAATATTGAATTATAATGGATAATTTAAGTGACATTAATATTTGAAAAATAATAAAATCTAAATAAAGTAGTGATGTGTTTAGACAGAGATGTTAAATATTAAAGGTCATTTTGACAATATGTATAATAACAAAAGAAGTCAAGGCCCAGCATTATTGAAGATGGGACAAAAACACTGTGTTTGAGCTATTGTATATAAAGATGCTTAAAATTTTCTGAAGAATGAATTATAGGGATTAGAATGAGAAATTCAGACATGAGAAGACCTGAACTGCAGCTCAGGTAATCTTATATCTCTTATCCTCTTTACAAACCTGAGATATCCGTGGGGAAATTGCCTTTTTCTTTTTGGTACTGGGAATTGAACTCAGGACTTGTCCTTACCAGGCAGGCACTTGTGGAACTGAGTTATATTCTCAGCTGAAAAGGCCTTTTTCTTATTCTTTACCAAAGTTTCTTATGTGGAGATGACCATAGGGAATAAATTGGAAACATTTTCCTTGTTGCTTAGTGTCAGGAAAATGCTTCCACAAATCTCACCTGGAACAGATCAAATTATCACTACGTAGACGTCTTTGGAAATACCAACAGATTAGAGCCAGGTGCAGAGATTTGGACACTATCACAGAGCTTTTTAATTTGGTTAAATGTTGGAGTCCCATTTAGGCATTGATCAGTCTATAGGTCCTGAGTGTACCTGTACCTTGAAATCTCTGAGTCCCATTTTAAAAGATTTCCATTATATCTGTTGTGAAGTCCACTCACCTTACGCTGACTGAAGAATCTTTCAATAAACATGAAATTAGTGGTGCATTGTTCTCTGCAAGCCACAAAGAGAAAAAAGAAATTATAGTTTTTCCAACATTGCAAAGTATTTTGGAGACATTGTTATGGAAAACCAAAGGGAAATTTACTCCAACTGATTTTAAATTGTCCTAAATATCTCAGTTGGGAAGATGGGCATAGGCCCAGGCACACAGGAGGTGGAGACAGGATAATGGAGCACAGGAGTTCTAGGCCAGTGTGGCCAACTCAGCATGATCTGGAGTTATGTGTTTTGGCTTGTATCCAGCAGCCTCATGCACTCATAGGTGGGGCTTTTAGAACTAGCTGGTTCTAAGGTGTGCAATTTTGGGGTTAAGGGTGTGTGGAACTAAATTAGTCCACTGATTGCTTTAGCACAGTTATGGATGTGGATAATGGAAGGCCCATCCTGGGGGTGGATGGCACCACCCCATCCAAAAGGCTTGTAGCCTAGATGGTATAAAGGAGATAGAGGCTCGCTGCTTCACTGCTTCCTGTCTGTCTTGCAATGGACTGTTTCTCGTCTGCCATGTCCTTCTGCCTCGCTGCCCTTCCTGGAGCCAGTTGACTTCGGACTGAAACCTCTACAGACTACGAGCTAAATTACACCTTTCCTCCTTCAAATTGTGTGTGTTAGGTATATTGTCCCAGCAACACAAAAAAGAACTAAGACAATATGTTGACACATTTCAGATGAGGTTCCTACATAAACTTTCTACTTTTCACTGGGCATGGCTGCTCTCACCTGTAATCCCAGAGTTCAGAAGGTTGAGGCAGGATTGTTGTGAGTTTGAGGTCAGCCTCAGCTACAAAGTGAGTTCAAGGCTAGCCTGAAGTGCATAGTGAAAGCCTGTATCAAAAAGGTACACACAAAAATATATTATTATATATTTATACTATATATATTATCATATATAATATATATTATTATAAATATTTCTTCAAATATATAACAAGAAAGAGAGTCCACCTACCAAATGGAATTTTTCCTGGGGCAGTAGCTGCCATGGTGACAGTGGGAGTATGAGTACAAAAGGGACTCTGTTCCTGAGATAAAGGGTTGGGACGCTATGAGGTCATCCCTCTGCTGGGAAGTAATTATCATTTCACCTGTAAGTTCAGTGACAGCCCCTGCATGGGGGTTTGAGATCATCTCAGAAAACTCTTTGCAAAACTTCAGCTATTAGAATATTAGTGACAAATCAGTTGAGAGATGGGTTGGAGGGAGATGGAGATAGAAACAGGCATGGCAAATCATCATCTGTGATGCCTGGAAATCAGATGAAATGACGCTTGAGAAAAGGACACTGAGGTCTAAAAAGTGACACGAAGAAGTTGAGAGTGTGGTTGATAAACTGGGAATTTTTTTTCCCCCAACACTATATATTATTATTCAATCCTGAAAAATGTGTATCATCACTACCTAAAGGGCAGAAAATAATAATTAAATAGGAATGGCTTCCCTGAGTCTAACACATGATCTTAGCAAGCTGAGAAGAGATAGCCTGACTGTGAGAAACAAATGTGGCTGACCTGTTCATTTCTTCACTCAGGCTGTGCTACACATTTTATTGTGTCGTGTGCACCAGCAAATAAGTACTGTCAAAGAATCTGCTTACGTTTTGTCAGTGTTATAGTCAAGAAAAATATGTATCAAGAAATAATGAAGATCAGTGTACACTTTCAGCGAACTGCCTCGGAGAGGTCAGATTGGGCACTCCGTCTCCTGCCACCACCGCAGGGCAAGTCTGACCTCAGGAAAAGACAGGGACTTTTGGTGAGCTGCCTGGGAGAAGCCTAACTTCATGGCCCACCTCATGGAATGAGTCTGGCTCCCAGGAAACCCAGGGTTGTTTGATCAGCTTCCTGGGAGAGCCTGGACTCCATGTCCTGCCTCACTCCACCATCCTGGAATGAGTCTGACTCCTGGGAAACCCAGGGTCCTCTGTGAGATGCCTGAGAAGGACTGGACTGGCACTCCATCTCCTGCAACTATTGTGGGGCAAGTCAGACCCCCAGGAAAGCCAGTCTGACTCCTGAGAAAGCCGTGGTCACTTAGTGAGCTGCCTGGGAGAGGCCAGACTCAGCACTCTGCCTCCTGATGCCATCACAGGGCAGGCCTGACACTCCACCTCCCACATCCAAAATGACAAGGTGAAGGAGCAAAGTGCAATCTCAGAACTCCACGCCGCTCAGAACAAGTCCAGGAGACACTTGGAACTTGGAAGTTGGAAGAACTTGGAAGTCATGCGCCTGAAATTTCTGAAATGATAGCAGCTGAAGTAAAAAACAACTGAAGAGAGACTTTCAGGCCTTGAACACAGCATTGCAGCTAGCAACTGTGAAAGACAAGATCTTTTAAAAGTAACAAGAAACCGACTTGTGCCCTGACCCTCTGGAGGGCACAGGCACGTGCAGTCTGTGATTGCTGTCTGAGCGGCCCAGGTCTGGCTCCTGTACACGTCCTGAACTGCCTGCAGACACAGAATCAGGTGGGCCACAAACTATTGACCCTGCAGTTAGTGTCTGGGTTTTGCTTGTAATCTGAACTGCCTGCAGACAGAGGTCCACTGGACCTGGATTGTGCCACCAGTGCAACCTGAGTCCAGCCTTACACGTGCCCTGAACTGCAAGGGGATGCTGGATCAGATGGTCTGCCATCAGCTGACACCAATGCCTGAGTCTGAGACCTGGGATAACTAGATACACTTCAGCAATGGCCGGAAACGCCCCAACTAATTAGTGTATCTCAGTGGACACTGAGGAGCAAACCTGACCAATAGGAAAACTATGGACACTAGTGGCCTTTGCTGTGGAGCCATTGAAGAGGGAACTGAGCTTTCTGCATCTGGTATCAAACAGGACAAGATGAAGGACTAAAACACAGTCCCAGAACTCTGCCCCAATCAGAACAAGTCCAGGAGACATCCACATAGGAAAACTTGGTAAACAGATGCCTGAAATTGTTGAAATGATTGCAGTGGAAGTAAAGAAACAACTCCATAAGGCCATAGAAGAGATGAGATCAGAAATAATCTCTCAGGCAAAAAATGAAATGACAATAATAATGAAAGAACTGCTCAGAACATCTGAAGAAGAAACATGTAAGAAAATAGAAGAACAAAGGCAATGGACGGAAACATTAAATGAAAAATATAGAAAGAACTTAGAACGCATGAACCAGAATCAAAGAGACTTCCAGGAAATATAAAAAAAAAAAAAGAGACTTCCAGGAAAACAAAGCTTCCAGTGACAGCTGCCAAAACTGCTTGAATGAAGCTGAAGATAGAATCTCAGACTTTGAAGACAGCATGGCAGCTAGTGACCATGAAAGAAAGGACTTTGTAAAATCAACAAGGATCCAGGAAAACTCAATTCAACAGCTGCAAGATGAGGCAAAGAGGAATCATGTACGACTAATAGCAGTCAATGAAACAGCAAG